ATTGAAAAATGAGGAAAGGTTTATATATTACTTAACAGCAGCAAATAAATCCATCAATCATCTACAAGTTTAAAAAAATATCTTAGTTATAAGAAAGATACTATTATTTAGCGTATGGCTACACATCTAATTGTTAACAAGAACAGAAAGCAGAAAAAGTAAGAACACAAATCATAAATGTAAATCTAAGTTAGAAATATAGTTTAAAGCACTTTCAGTCATAATCAGGAAGTCACTCAGTTGTCCCGGAAAAGATCTTACTGGACAATCTTCCAAGATATGATGTATAGTCTGTCTTTCAGCACCACAGTCACACTGTGGGGATGCAACTTTTCCCCACCTAAAAAGACTGTCCCTGCACAACCCATGTTTGGTCCGAATCCTATTTAACACACTCCAAAGATTTCTGGATAACTCAAATCCAGGTGGTCGCTTTGTGATACAAGGAAGTTGTCGACTGTCCACCGGAGAGACATCAGCCCAGAGCCTTTTCCAAGATTCAGTGAGGTTGAAATTATTGGAATGCAGGGATTTAGCTCTTATAAGAGGAGGGTGTCTTGATTTAAGTCGATTTATGTTGAGGTCATCAATATCCTGATGGATCGGAAGTTGTGGATTAGACAATATTTTCCTATATTCCCTGAGCAAAGTGCTGTCCCTTCGGAGTGCAGATGGAGGGATATGGCTCAAAATAGGTAACCAGTGAATAGGAGTTGATTTAAGAGTACCTGTTATGATACGTAGAGTAGCATTTAGTTGGGCATCCAGTTTTTTAATGTGAGTACTGTTCATCCATACCGGTGCACAGTATTCTGCTGCAGAGAAAACCAAGCCAAGAGCAGAGATCCGTAAGGTGGACGGCGAAGAACCCCATGTAGTTCCACATAGTCTTTGGAGGATGTTGTTTCTGGTATTAACCTTGGCAGCTAAATTCATCAGATGTGTTTTAAAAGATAAAGTTCTATCCAAAGTGACGCCAAGATATTTCGGGTTCATATTATGTTTCAATAAATTGTTGTCAAAGTAAACCTTTAATTCTTCATTTGCCAGCTTATTATTAAGATGAAAGCATGAAGCTTCAGTTTTTGTTTTACTCAATTGAAGTCTCCACTGGCGAAAATATTGTCCTAAGGTTGATAAGTCCTCTGTCAGGATCTTTTCAGTAATTGCAAGGTCTTTATGTCTCGTGGCAATCACCCAATCGTCTGCATATCCAAATTTCCTTGCCTTTGTTTGAGGCAAGTCAGCTATGTAAAGACTAAAAAGCAGTGGTGCCAGGACAGAGCCTTGAGGTAGGCCATTATTTAGTTTTCGTATGCTACTTCTCGAATTTCCCATGACAACTTGAAAGGGTCGGTTATTTAACATCTCATCAATTATTTTAACTATTTTTAAGCAGGGTATCACTCGAAGCAGCTTATAGATTAGGCCATGCCGCCAGACAGTATCATATGCTGCAGTGAGATCGATGTATACTGCAGATGTTTTTAATTGCCTTTGGTATCCAGCCTCCACAAAAGTAGTGAAGGCTAGTACCTGGTCTGAGCAGCTCCTATTCGGTCGAAAACCAGCCTGCTCTACCGGAATATTCTCAAAAATTGTATTGCTCAATCTGTTGTAAAGAAGTCTCTCTAATAGCTTATACATCACACTCAAGAGTGAGATAGGTCGATAGCTCTCTGGTCTATCGTTAGGTTTTCCAGGTTTCAGGATAGCTATGATTTTAGCTTGTTTCATAGCGAAAGGAATTTCACCTTTCTGTAAGATGTCAGTAAAGAAGCGAGCCAGCCATTGCTTAGTATACTTGCCGCTGTGTAACAGGAATTCAGGATGGACACCATCATTTCCAGGGGCTTTACCAGCTTTTATTTGTTTAAGGGCAGCATAGATTTCTTCAGTATCAAAAGGTAGAGAGTACGCTGTATCATTTAAACATTTAGCTTTAATGGACGTAAGTTCTTTTTTAATCTTAATTGTGAATTCACGATCTCTAGGAGCTCTAGATATGTTTAGTATATGTTCTGCAATACTATTTGGAGTAATCAAGATTTCTCTACCTGATTTGACAGTTGCTCCTCCCAATCTTCTAAGCAAGGACCATGCCTTCCTACTTGACTTTGTAAAATCCAAATTTTGTACAGTGTTTATCCATCTAAGGCGCCTGGCATCATCTAAGCTATGAAGTAGTTCATCCCCTAATTCAAGATCACCAGATTCCAGGAACTTCCTATATAGTGATTCACTTTTTTCACTCCATCCTGGGATATAAATCTTGCGATATCCTCTAGGTATACATTTCTTGGCTACGCTAAACAGTGCTCCAACAAACCTTTTATAATTGTTGGATGTAGGTGGGATCCATCCCAAACATTTGTCAAGATCTTCTGAGAACAAGTTAGTTTTCACTCTTTGTAATTAGTTTTACAATTAGTTTTACAATTAGTTTAATAATTAGTTTCAACATTAGTTTTCACTCTTTGTAACTGAATTATTAAGACTTATTCTATACTCTAGATATAGATATGTCTCTAGAGAACATTTTAAGTCTTAACAACTCAGTTACAGAGAGTGAAAATGAATAACATTTTTCTATTAGTATATATAGCAAATGCAACCAAACTTTCCAAAAATCACCTTCTCTTATTCAGAAGAAAGTCAACTATTACCTTTTATCTGAAAAAACAGCCCTATCTACAAACAGTGGCTTAAATAGCTGATTGACAAAATTATGGCATTCTATAGCATTTAGAGCACTATTGAACATCACACTGTGAACAAGTACAGGACAAGTACAAGGGTTTATGAAGGTTGTTTTATACTGTTAACTTTATGTTGTTACATTTTTAATAGTAAGTCCTAGATCAAGTTTTCAAACATACTTAGCTTTTGAAATGTCACACAATGAGTTCACTTTTTGAATCAATTAGTACTTTTAAATGAGTGAGAGTGAATGGTTGAGTGAAATGACTGACAAATAAGTCATTCTATAAGTGAATTCACATCTGGTTTTCAGCTTCATTTGTGCACATACCTCCAAAGATACAAAGTATTCATGGACGTTTTAAGCTAACTGACCATTGTTTCCTTCATAATAACAAAACCGTATTAACTTTACCCCAATACTAAATACGTATATCAATCTGCTTTATAATAAAAATTATTTTTGAATTTAAGCTGTCATTTTTTAAAATTTTCTACAATGTGTAATGTAAAATTTTCTTGAGTAATGAAAGATATCTTTGCTAGTTTTGTAATAAAATTAATTTATCGACATTAAATTTTATATTTGAATAAATAAATTTATATAAAACTTGGGTTATACGTATCAATTTCTTTAATTTTGTATCGATTTAACAAAATTGCTACTTATTTTCAAAATGAACAGAAAATGACTCCCCTCAAAAAAAATATCCATAAGCAATATTTGAATGTTATTTGAAATATAACATTATAATATCATGAAAAGTAAATATATTATTATGTTATATTATTAGTGAAACAATATTAATATATATTATTAATGTTGTTCCATTTTTTATGTATATACAGGAAATCCTCATTAGTCCGAAATTTAAAAGACAAAATAATCTCAACTTGAAATTATCGAGTTTCGAATTATCCAAGATTTACATATTGCTATACAATATACAAATGCCATGTAACTAATGTAATTTATTAAACAAGTGGAATACAGCAAGGAATACAGAATGCTATTTTCATTAATAATTAATAATATAAATAAAGTATAGGTTACCAGATAGGTTTTATAAAAAGTAAAGCAAAATTTCTCAAACTGTAGCCCACATTATTTTTAAAGTGGCCTAAAAAGTAGTAAGTTGCCCAAATGTACTAGCCTAGAGCCCTACAAATATCTCAATCCACTACTTGTAGCTCAATCTTGCAATCTCAAAACACAGCTGTATTTTGTGAGAAGAGAATAAAGGGTAGTCCATGAGTAAGTTGATATCTGAAAATGTGTTGCTGTAAAAGTGAAGCCATATTGACCAAATTATAGTTATTTTTGATCTATTGATCTCTTATAGTATGGAGGCATTTCGATATAAATGGATGAGTTAACATATGCATATCACAGTTTGGACGGAATTTTCACTTCAAATTTTGAAGTAGCCATATTTCGAACTAACAGAATTCTTTAATGTGTAAATCTCTATACTCCAGCCTGGACAAATAGTACAGTTATAAACTAATGGGATTTCAAACTATCCGAGTTCAAATTAACAAGGATTTCTTGTATAATTTTTAAGAACCAGCTTGTGCATTCTCAAAATTTATCTTGTTCTAAAATGTGAATTTTAAAAACTGTTCTGGAATAATTGTCTTTGTTCATTATAAATTGTAAATTCAGATATTACTGGAGAAAATCAATTAGGAAGAATGAAAACGTTAGAAAAATAAACATTAACTGTATAAGCAAAAAGGTTGTGTTATAGTTANCACAGATGTCATATCACACACACTATACAGAAGTCTAGAAACATTAGGCTTGACAACAGAACATACATCACATTAAAGAAGGCTGCCATGTTAAACATGTGTTATATAGTCAAGAAATTCCTAAAAACTAATACATACACATATAGCACATAAACAAAATAATTTTCCCTGTAGCTATGCCTTGACTTAGTCCAGCATACCATTAGGCACCCTTCAAGTAAAATACATTCCACCCACACATTAATAAAAATGGTTTGCACATCATATTTTCAAAATCATATAGATATTTTAACTATTATATACAACAAGGTATTAACAAGATAGTTAACAAGATATTAAAATCTTTCATATCATCATAAATATGACTTGCTAAACTTAATTATAGTTTATATTTTAGAAATATTAACTTATATATGAAAGTATTTAAAATCCACTATAGTTAAAACAACACTGTACTATTTAAAATATCTCAGCTTATAAAAATAATTTATCTATATGATATTTTTCAAAAATAAATTTACTTTTTTAAATATTGATATTAAATGTTAAATTATATAATTTTCTCTTTCTAATATTATCACCTTCATAAAATAGTCAAAAGATTCTTTAGTTCTTGATGTATTCCAGTATAAAAGTCCCAATAAATAGAGTGTGGAACCTTCGTATTTTAAACCAATCGCTTTCTGCAATCTAAGAATACTACATTAATAATCTTACAACAAAACTTATAAATAATAAATTATCTAGATAAAAAGCAACCAATAGTTCTAATTTTGAAGTGTAATAATTGTGTAATTTAGTTCATTTATGGATAATGATCAGATTCTACAGGGTTTCTGAAAAGAAGCAATGGTTTATGAAAAGTATTATGTATTTAAGGAAATCAGATTAACATGTAATTTTCAGTAACTGTCAGCAAAACCTTTTAAGTTTTTTCTTTGCATCTCAAAAACAGACCACTATTGTTGCTGCAGATAGAAGCATTTGAAAAGAAAATGGCAAATGTTATTTAAGTGTCAGAGTCAAAATCACTGAAAACTGTGAAGCAAAAGTATTGAACCATATACAAAAAGATCCACCATATATAAACTCTATCAAAAGTTGGATGAAAATCTTTTTAGAGATTAGTAGTGAACAGAAACAGAAGTTGTCAGTAGACCTTGAAGCTCAAATCCGACAGTCACCAACATCAAAACCATGTTTTAGTGAAGCCCAACAATACTGGTTTGCGAAGCAACTTAAAAACTGCATGTCCCACGATGGACAGTACATGATGTTCTACATAAACATTTAACATTACATGCATATCAGATCATCTGGCTTTAAAGCTTGAACATGCTTTAAAGCCAGATGTTTGCTAATGTCATTACTGTTTTGCAATTGACATCTTAAATCTCATAGGATATCCTGATTTCCTTTCTTATGTATGCTTTACGATAAAGCAACATTTCATATGTTACTTTTGAAAACCCTGTATAGTAAATCTATAAAAAAATATAAAAAATGAAAAAAATAATGTGTATAAAANTACTGTTTTGCAATTGACATCTTAAATCTCATAGGATATCCTGATTTCCTTTCTTATGTATGCTTTACGATAAAGCAACATTTCATATGTTACTTTTGAAAACCCTGTATAGTAAATCTATAAAAAAATATAAAAAATGAAAAAAATAATGTGTATAAAATTATGATATAACTTCTATTTAGCTATTTAATTGAGTCAATTCAGTAAAAAATTTTAAATGCAGTTTATTAATTTGCAAATTTTTCCTGCAGGTGAAAAAGTGAATATTTCATTTTAATTCAAACTGACATGAAATTTTAACCATTAGTATCAAAAAAAAGTTTTATACAATAATTGAGAAACTAATTCACTATGGCAGGCTTAATATAATATAAATATTATATTTATACTTTTTTTATACACTGTAAACTTTTTAATGTAATATAAATGCAGAAAACCTTCTATACATTTCAGGATTATTCTGGAAATACAAAGCAAATAAAAATTTCTTTAACCAACTGAACTTTCTATCTTGATTAAAACAGACTCGTTATAAGACAAACTCTGCTTTACCATTTGATAGTCTTAATTGGAACACCAGTAGGTTTTCTGTATTTATATTTAAAAAGAGTTTTTTGAAATAAAAACAGATTTTCTTTTTTGTTTCCTTTTAAAGCTCTGTTTTGGTTTTATGTAAAAATCAAAACCGTGGTTTGATAAGTGAGACAAACTTTTCCTACTGTAAACACACAATAATGTAAGTAGACAGTAATATAACAAATGATTGAACTGAACAGAAATGAAGTAACTAATGTTCCAATTTCACTTTTAAAACACAGTTTTCCTGCATCTTTTCAAATTTTCTTAATAAATGTCTGCAAAAATGTTGCAATAAATGGCTTCTTAGCTAAGCCATTTTATTTCAACATTTTTTCGGCTATTGCCATATTATTATTATTTCTTGTATTGAATACTATAGTTATTCCAGAATTGCTTTAATTTTCCTAAACTCTGTTCACACAATCAGACATTCTGTATTGCTGTATCACTAAACCTTACAACTTTGTGACTTTTTGTTACAGGATTACATGACATTACAGAATTACTGAGATGACTAAATTTCATTGACCATGCTGAAAGACTAACCAGCATCATGTTTCAACCATACCAACAGAAATGCTGTTTAGTGCTGTTCATTACATCTTGTCTCACCTACACGCTGTATTTGTGTATATTGGGAACTATATTGAATATTTATAAATTACTTTGTGCAAGCTTGTAAAATGTACATGCTATACAAAATTTAAAATTTGACCAAAGCAAAGGTAGTTGTACTGAGGTAATTAATAGTGCAGTTATCAACAGTATTAAAAATTTGACTGTGGTGCAATCTAGAGATCGTAACTGTAACTAAAATTTTTAAATAAATTATCCAGTGGCATAGCATGGGTGTCAGCCGCCTGGGGCAGAGGAAAATTTCGTCCCCCTTATTTAGGTATCTCAATTTAAAAGACTAAAATTCAGTTTCATCACAGAATAAGTAATAAAAAATTCCGTGCTAATGTTGCTACCTTTTTAAAATCGCTGACCCGCACGGCAGGTGAGGTTTGTTCGAACAGAAGATCCTGACGGAATGTCATTTTGCAATGCGAAGAATAATGTGCAGTGCTTGCTGGTTCTAAATCAGTTACAGTTAGTGAATACGGAGACTTGGATAGGAGTAATGCAAGTGACTTAGCTCTATTGGATATTGGAGGTGTATAAAAGGTGTATAATTCGTACAAGCGAAAAAAAAAAGGTTGCCAGGTAATGCATGGTTAGTCGATTCCCGGACTGTCTGGATGGTAACACTATTCCGTGCTTATTTCGATCGGTCCGAATCGTAGGTGGACAAAGATATGAAATAAAACGATTCAAATTCTTACAAGATATTCTTATTTATTGTGAAATTTTGCCGCCCCCTAAAAAGTGCCGTCNTAAAATTAATTTATCGACATTAAATTTTATATTTGAATAAATAAATTTATATAAAACTTGGGTTATACGTATCAATTTCTTTAATTTTGTATCGATTTAACAAAATTGCTACTTATTTTCAAAATGAACAGAAAATGACTCCCCTCAAAAAAAATATCCATAAGCAATATTTGAATGTTATTTGAAATATAACATTATAATATCATGAAAAGTAAATATATTATTATGTTATATTATTAGTGAAACAATATTAATATATATTATTAATGTTGTTCCATTTTTTATGTATATACAGGAAATCCTCATTAGTCCAAAATTTAAAAGACAAAATAATCTCAACTTGAAATTATCGAGTTTCGAATTATCCAAGATTTACATATTGCTATACAATATGCAAATGCCATGTAACTAATGTAATTTATTAAACAAGTGGAATACAGCAAGGAATACAGAATGCTATTTTCATTAATAATTAATAATATAAATAAAGTATAGGTTACCAGATAGGTTTTATAAAAAGTAAAGCAAAATTTCTCAAACTGTAGCCCACATTATTTTTAAAGTGGCCTAAAAAGTAGTAAGTTGCCCAAATGTACTAGCCTAGAGCCCTACAAATATCTCAATCCACTACTTGTAGCTCAATCTTGCAATCTCAAAACACAGCTGTATTTTGTGAGAAGAGAATAAAGGGTAGTCCATGAGTAAGTTGATATCTGAAAATGTGTTGCTGTAAAAGTGAAGCCATATTGACCAAATTATAGTTATTTTTGATCTATTGATCTCTTATAGTATGGAGGCATTTCGATATAAATGGATGAGTTAACATATGCATATCACAGTTTGGACGGAATTTTCACTTCAAATTTTGAAGTAGCCATATTTCGAACTAACAGAATTCTTTAATGTGTAAATCTCTATACTCCAGCCTGGACAAATAGTACAGTTATAAACTAATGGGATTTCAAACTATCCGAGTTCAAATTAACAAGGATTTCTTGTATAATTTTTAAGAACCAGCTTGTGCATTCTCAAAATTTATCTTGTTCTAAAATGTGAATTTTAAAAACTGTTCTGGAATAATTGTCTTTGTTCATTATAAATTGTAAATTCAGATATTACTGGAGAAAATCAATTAGGAAGAATGAAAACGTTAGAAAAATAAACATTAACTGTATAAGCAAAAAGGTTGTGTTATAGTTAATGCTAGTACAGTTACTGAAGAGATTTTCATATCTGAAATGTTTTATGGACAGAGCATGACATTTTTATTATTTTTAAATAATCTTTATAATAGTATGCCAAACTGCCAGATTATTTATTGGGTCAAAATGAGGCTAATTTAACAGTTAGAAATAAATAATCCAGCAGTTCATTTAACATATCCAATAGAATTGATTGATGTTTTTGTTGTTATACATCTATATAATGTACAATAAAAATATTTTATGTATGAAGCACACTTTATATGTTAATTATTTATTTTCATTATAAAATAATAAGCTTTTTTCTAAAAAACCTCATATTTTATGAATAATTAATAACTATTTACAAATCATCACATAATTAGTTCATAGATAATAAATAATAGAATTTGAATTATACAACTAGAAAATGCTATAAAATTTAATGCTGTTAAAATTAAACTGCTTAATAAACAAAGTATTAATAATATGAATTTACTTATGTTCAGCTTCTTTATAATCATTTTCAAAAATGTGAATGGCTGCATCTAACTGAAGTGTCTGCAAACATTCTCCATTTGTTCTTAATTCTGCACATAACTATAAAAGATTACTTATTAATATAAATATCAAAAAAATAAAAAATTCTTTTATTACTATACTTACATTACTTACTTTATTACAATACAGGGTTATTCAAACAAAATGGTGCAAAAGTAAAGCCAATTTACTCATACCTAAAATATCATACAACAACAATAACAACATGATAGATGTCAACACGATAGTCCAGTTCTGCTCGGAAGTGTCCCAGCATATCTCTAGATATCAGTCCACAATGCCACAGTACTGGGGCCATTGACCAGGGCTGAATGGTGATAAAAGATAGCTAGGCAATAGTTTTGGGTGGCAGTTTTCCTAATAACCCCTTCTTGAAAGTACTTTAAATATTTTATCATAAAAACAAAAACATATGAAGCTGGAAAGGCACAATGATATAGGATTTTATTCCACTAATAATTTAATGTATAATGAGGCAGTATTTGTAAACTTTGACTCATTTTATTACTTTTTACAATTTTCTGAAAGAAAAGAATCAGCCTGAAATGGGACTTAAACCTGCAACTCCCACTTAATATACAAATGCATTGCCATTTACAATACCAGCAGCTCTGAGTGATCTTTCCTTCCAGAACTATTACTTTAGATATAACCATACATGTCATGGAACAACTTAAGCATCCATGGCTATCCTCCATAGTAATCAGCCAGCTATCGCTTTCATCTGGTATACTACACACACACACGCAACTAATATACAGTACATACACAAAATATGACGAAATAGTTGTATTTCATATTATTATTTGTATTAATTCTAATCCAATCATAAAATTCTATTAGAAATTAAATTATTTTAACATTTAATAATTTCAATTTAGTAATGTCAATGAGTTTGGGGATGTGACAGTTCCACATGAGTAAATTGATTATTTAAACACTCAAGTTTTCAAGAAGCCAGAAAATATTTTTTATTAAATTGCCAAATTGTCGTTATTTAGCCCGATGTCATACGACAGTTGTTGATGTGATGTAATGTATCGGATTTTGTAAGGATGTTTAAATTTGTTTGTATTAAATTGTTTAATGAAAAAGATATTTTATAGCTTCTTGCAAACTTCAGCATTTGTTTAACTAATTAATTTTTCTAGTAATACCAATTCAGTAGAAAAAAAGTATCGAAAACATTAGCACTTTCAAATTTCTTTTACTTTTATTGACTCAAAATTGTAGCATTTCTTAAGAACATGTTCTCATAATAGACAAAAAATTATTAATTCCACTTAATATACAAATCAAAAACAAAATAACAGTTTGATATTCTCACCTCTTTAGCTTTATCAATTTCATTCATTTTTAAATAGATCTTGCATAATGATTCGAGGCATTTTTGGGTCCTTCCTAATTTCGCCATTGCCTTATTACACAATAATTTCAAATGAATACTTCTTTCACATCACAAAAATTAGCCAATTAAATTATTACCTTATCTAAAAACTGAAGAGCTTGTTTCCAAATATGCTGTCCAGCTAGAGCTTCTGCTAAGTATAAATGCAACATGTTTCTAATGTTCACTGTAACTGAAGATTTAGATGATAGTTCCAATTTCAACCCTTTATTAACAAAAACTTTTACTCAAATATGAAATATGACACTATAATAATAAATAATAAATTAACTACAAAATATTTCTTTCAAATACTAATGATTTAGTAAATGAATTATTATTAAAAATTACATTCAATCAAGAACTGAAAGTACTTGTTCACACAAAATAAATATGGAAAATTAAAGATGGATTTTCTACAGTAAATATACCAGTTAATTTATTAATAATTTAATAATAATAATAATATTGTCATTGAGAATCTATTAATCATGATCTTGTGATGAAATTTATTGAAACTCTTTTCTCCTATCAATTCATGTATATAAACTCCTTTACTGTTACACCACAATTAGTTTATTGTTTCAATAAGCTCTCATCAAGGCATATTAAATTTGCAATTTTAGTTTAAATGCCATACAGTCTAACTTGATTGATTCAAATTTTACAAATTCCCCTTGAGTATCCTATTACATGTAATCTTAAAATTATCTGTTTAATTTAAATAATTTGAAGTGGAATTAGCTTTATATTTTGAAAATTACTAAAATTTTACCATTGCAGAATATCTGTTTCCTTGAAATTCTTGCCTACCCCCTGCAGTTGTCCTTCCTCCTTTTGTGTCTTAATTTGTGGTTTACTGATAAGCTATATATAGTACAATGAATAAAAAGCAGTAGGTGTCCTATTGTTAAACATTTAATGCATTTAACATTTCTTGAATGTTCGAAATTCCCACCGCATTATGTCATGTGCTAGGTTTCAAGTGCTAGTGATTCATCTTTAATCGTTTAGTGTAATACAGTACTTACTGTAGGCCTACTGTTCTGTTCCTTTATTGTACCATATTTTGGAATAGTGGTAGTTTACTTTATTGTAGTTTAATTGCATTTCTTTACTGTATAGTATCGTGTCGAAGCATGGATCACACAATAATTCTTTATCTTTGGAAAAAAAGTTGAGGTAATTAACAAAGTAGAAAAAGGAATAAAAAGAAAGCGTAATATTGCCAAAGAATTTGGCATACCCCCAAACATTTTATTGACTTTCCTAAAGGATAAAACTAAAATCGTAGACTGTTGAAATAAACATGATGATGCAAGCAGAAAACATACGAGAGGAGCCAAGTATCCTGCAATTGATGAATACATTTAAAAGTGATTTCAACAATTGCAAAAACATAAGGTACCTTTAAGTGGCTCACTGATATGTACCAAAGCAGAAGAGTTTGCCAAGAAAATAGGAATTGCTGATTTTAAAGCAAGCTCAGGTTGGTTTAATGGTTTTAATGTTAGAAATAACTTAAAATTTAGAAAGATTTGTGATGAACATGCATAGGTAGATACTAATGAAAAGGCTGATGAATGGATTAGTGCATTACACAATCTTCTTCCCGATTATGAACCAAAAAATATTTTTAATGGGATAAAACAGGTCTTTTTTCAAGTGTATGCCAGACAAAACATTCCTCTTTAATTAAGGGTGATTGATGTAGTATTGGCAAAAACAGCAAAAAAAAAAATAATGATTTTAGTAGGAACAAACATGGATGGCTCTAAAAAATTATCAATGTTAATGATCAGAAAATCTGCAAAACTAAGGTGTTTTAAATTAGTAAAAAATTTACCGGTACAGCATGAATCCAACAAGAAGGCTTGGATGACTAGTGAATTGTTTCAGAAATATCTTTAGCACAAGATAAAAAATTTTACAGTACTAATAGGAGAGTTTTAATGTTTATTGATAATTGCACTGCCTGCCATAACATTCATCAGCCAAAGTGCATTAAAATTGCATATTTTCCACCTAATATGACTTCCTTTGTGCAACAAATGGATCGTGTTATTGAAAATCTCAAGCATTTGTAACATCAAGTGATTTGGAATATCTCAGAAAACATAGATTCCAATACACAAATGAAAATTGATCTTGATGCAGCTTGAATGATAAGCAAAGCTTGGAAACAAATCACGTCACAAACAATCACAAATTGTTTTAATAAAGCAAGCTTTAGCCATAATCATAATTCTGAAATCATTAGAAAAAAACCTGTAGTGATGCCAGTTCCAGAACAGTGGGTTACTGACAGTGGGAACAGTTGGCATCACTTATGACTCCTATATAAATGTGGACAACTTACGGATACAGAAATTGTTGAAGAGATGAGGAACAAAGTTACAGAATCTTCTGATGAAGAAGATGAAAATGATCCTATTGATGCAAAATCCATCCCTATACCAATGACTTCAGAAGCTGTGGATGTGCTAGAAAAACATGATGATTTGTAGAAGCTCAAACTAATGTTATGAATAACTTCTTCCATTCACTGGGTGAACTTGAAAAATTTGTATATTGTGTAAAACAACCAAAAAAGAAACAAATGAAAGTTACAAACTTTTTCAAATAAAATACAATACTATAATTGTGTTTTATTTACTAAACTTCAACAGGAATAATTCAAACTGAGAGCAAATTGCTGGCAAAAAAAGAAAAACAGAGTGAATAACACATCATACGTGATGTTGTTTCTGGTCAATATTATCATTTCACAAATCTCTCAGAAGTTAAAAACTGTCAAACTTTTCAACTAGCAAAAAAATTTTCCACTAATCTGAGCCCTTTGTTTGTTATCAATGTTTCTAGTGGTTTTTAAGATGATTATGAAATCATAACACAACAGAGTACATGTGAAAATTAACATGATATTCTTGTAATTCACACCTTTTAAACATTTTTCTCATCCCACATGATTTTCTTTTTGACAAATCTTTCATGTTTGTAACAAATATGTAACAGAGATTAAAAACAATGTCTGAAATGTTTTGTTTTTACTGATGATTTTTATCTCTTGCTTATAAATGATTAATTGCTCAAAATTCACAATCACTTTTCACTTTTTGAAGTCTAGACAAGTTTCCCTTTAGGTTTTTGCTCAGTGTTTATCTTAATAAGAAAATGCAACAACAAAATAAATATACTATTTCTGTATTACTTAATAATTATCAATGAAATTGGTTAATTCAAATGTTGGATAATTTGAATTATTTTGCATTCCTCTTGAACTTTCTGTTCAACTGTTTCTTTCTATAGTGCAGTTGAACCAAGTTCAACTGTACTATAGAAAGAAATATTTTAATCCCAAAATACACAAAAGTAAACAGAAAAATGTTTTATATGGAGTAATAAAAAATACAAAAATTCATGATTGTAATAAGTAATAAAATACATTTGTGATAGATCTTTCTAATTTTCTTAATATTACCTAACAAAAGTTTTCAGATAGAAGGTTTTCCATCAAAACTACAAATATCCCTTGCTTAATGCAGGACTTGATTAATGTATGAAATTAATTGCAACAATCTTTTTAATATTAAATACTTAGATTGGATGTCATGCCAACAGTTGTGTTAATTCAATTAGAAATTTCAGACTAGGAGGCATTAAAAAGAAATAAAAGGAATATTTTAATCTTGAAAGCGCTTTCAACGTAAATATATATGTTGTCCTCAGGCAATTCAGAATCGAAAAGATTTTGAATTGCCTGAGGACAACATATATATTTACGTTGAAAGCGCTTTCAAGATTAAAATATTCCTTTTATTTCTCTTTAACACCTTTTAGTCTGAAGCAATCTTTTTATATACATGGCAAAAATTTTAATTTATGCAGCTTTACCAGCTGTCTTTACTTAACATAGATACCATATTTTGATTAACATGATTTTGATATATGCAGTAGAATTGACGGATTAATTAACTGCATTAATCAAGAGATACCTGTACTCTTATTTTATATGTTTTGTTCTTTGGTCAAACTGAAATATCAATAAGAAAAAATAAGATGCATTGAATCTGTTATTAACTGGTGCAAGATTTGAGCATACAGAATTGTTTATAACAGAGATTCAAATATTTTAAAAAGAAGATTGTATTATAATTGACAAATACAAATTTTTTTAAATTTAATATTGTGATATATTCCTCATTGGTACAAGAAATATTACATAGATTTTGTAACTATCTTATAACTTTAAAGATGACTTGAAGTAATTCTTGCATGTAAAGTTTTTTAGAAATAAATAAAAATGTCCAAATGTGTTATATCACATATATGCCAAATGATTGCCATAATATGCAATGAGCTACTTTTAGACTACTATTAATAATTAAATTTTAAGTAATTTGTTACTGCAATCATTTAGCATTAAAAATGTTGGATTTTAAAATGTAATTAAAATGTACATGTAATTATCATGTAATTAAAATATACATGATATATATATATATATAATATATATCATGTATATTTTTGCCTAATAATTCAGTAAAATTATGTCTGAAATTTAATGAAACTGTATTTTTGAAGCACTTAATTTAAAATATATAAACAAAATAAGCATTTTCTCAAATACATAAATACAATAATAAAACTTTATACCTGTCAAAGCAGCTGATTTAGCTTCAGAATATTTGTAAATCTTTAAAAATGTTCTAGTTAATAAAAAGTATCCACTTATGCACTTTTCATTTGCACTCAAACCTACAAATTTTATGAAATGAATAGTAATGAATATTTTTATCAATATATCCAGGATAGTGGTGCCTTGTACTTCAAATCTAATTTGTTTTGAAAGGCCATTAAAACTCCAAATCATTTGAGGTCCACATCAGTTTTTCCCATCAGAAATAATGGAAAGTGAATTAATCTGTTCCTGACCTTACACAATAACCATTGAAAATGTTGACAAATTACAGAATTACATTGTTGTATCCTGTGAAATAATTCAACACACCTCTGGTATTTGTGAACAAACAGCAATCAATGTGAAGGAGGATAGGATCCTGTGTTACAGTTGGCAGTAGTCATTTTCAACAGTTATTACAACTAAGCTGTTTTGAACATATGTTCATATACACTTTTATGATTAAAATTATTTAAAGAATCAGTCCCTGAAATTTTTCACATATATTTAGAATCATCCTGTATATAAGAATGTTAGTTTTATACATACAAGTATCCCCATATAACATGGTAGTTAGGTTCCAAAAAAGTGTTGTGTTATGCGAATCCATGCTGTACAAAACAAAAGACTAGTATGAAACATAGAGCTTTAGGTTCCAAAAGTTTGCAAAATTATACTATTCTTTTTTGTAATTAAGAGAAATATATTTCGTAATTTTTCATCCAATGGAGAATTATTGTTTAATAAAAATTGAAGACAAAAACTGCCCAAAAAAGGGATCACCATATATTCTTTATGTTCCAAGACTATACACTTCTTCGGCAGCTGACCTTTTTTGTAGGCTGCTTGTCACTGGAAAATTACAAAGAGTCTTTTTAAAAAACACAAACACATCCAATTAAAATTATAAAAATTTTCTGAAAAAGGCTGTTAGCATGGACATAGATGGATGTAAGCAAAACAAATTGTATGTCACCAGTTCCTTTTTCAGAAATTTTTATAATTTTAATTGGATGTGTCTGTGTTTTTAAAAAGACTGTAATTTTCTGGCAACAAGCAGCCTACAAAGAAAGGTCAGTCACCAAAGAAGTGTATAGTCTTGAAACACAAAGAATAAATGGTGATCCCTTTCTGGGCAGTTTTTGTCTTCAATTTTTATTAAAGAAATATATTTATTAAATAATTCAATAATTAACTAAATCACAATCAAAACTATCTATTGCACATTATTATTAATTTTTTCTTTACTGCTAAACACTATTAAACGAGGATTTTTTTTTTGGCAAAATATCATCATCTTCCAAGCTTTCCCATCAAACCGAACTCAATTATCAGAAACATCTTGCTTTTTCTCTACATTTTTCATAAAATCTGATAGTTTCATTTGCGTGTATTTGCCTATCTTTAATAAATTAATCTTCTGATGTAGTAATTTTTAATTTAATCTATAAAATAAAGCACAGTGACAATTTTTAAGTTCATTTATAGCACTATCACTAACAGCAGCAACACCTGATTTATAGGAAAGCTAATATGAGAAGATGGAAATTTAGGGGAGGGTCATTTTAATCAAAATAACAAGTTGAAGAAAAGATTAGAAAATTAAGAGAAATTAATATTTTTCAACTTCAATGAAGTTTCTAAAAAAAACAGAAAAGCATCCGATTTTGAAAGGAAGTTGATTTCCTTTCCCAGGCCAACTCATGATGAGTCGAGTTTTTGCACACATTACTGGAGAGCAAATAAAAGGGACGTTTTTCCCCCATTCAAGGCAGTCCGTCAAAATGAGGTATTGCCATGCAAGAAGTCTGACATACGACAAAGGCAGTCCGTCGAAGATAGGTATTGCCACGCAAGAAGCTCGCCATACAATAGAGGCAGTCCATCGAAGAAAGGTTGTCATACGATCTCGTCTTATGAAAGAGTACTACATTCAAAGTATACAAGAGAAGATTTAAAAGGACTTTCCAAAGAAAATATTAGAAGAGAAATAATCAAGAAAGGAAGAAGATCCTCGGATATAGAAAAAGATACAAAAGACCTAAAGAAGAAGGTAATATGATCAGAGATAGATTGATGTGAACTCTCTCACACGTTAGGTTTAGAGATAATCTTAGGTTAAGAATTAGAATTAAGATTAGGTTTAGATTCATTCTTTTGTATAATTTCATATTTTGAATCCATTAAATATTTTGATTTGTTATATAAATATGGCTTCTTTAATACTAATGTTAGATATTCATGAGTTTAGGGATAACACGTGTTAATCTGTGTATAAAATAATTGATTAACTGGTGTCGGAAATCCTGACACAAGGAAAAGGGTGATTACGCAATCATCTGATTCTGCTTTAAATTAATATTCAAGCTGTAAATGAACTTATTAGTTAAAGTCCTCTACCCTTGATTTTCTTTGAATAGAAAAACCATCCTTGTTAGACAAACAGAGGGCTATTCAAGAGAATAGTTGCCAATTAAGTGGTACACGAGTAAAAGTACTCTGTATCCCCAGCTAGCCCTCATACTAAAATAAGAAGCTAGGACAAAGAAGAATAAAAACTGTACAATCAATTTGTATTAAAAAAAACCAGGTGAAAGGCACAAACATTGAAAATTTCAATATTCTAAACTCCATGAGAAAATATGAGATAACACACTTGCTCACTTGAAAAAAATATATATATAAAATAACAGTGTTTGCACTGTTATTTTATATATATATATATATTTTTTCAAGTAAGCACTTAGAAATTGTGATGTTTTGTATGGGGATGTCTTCAATTCTCAAAACTGTGTTGTATGAGGGCTATCTGTATATATAAAACTAAACACACCAAAAATAAAGCAAAAAAGTCTTGAAAACACATGAGTGCAATGTAAGAGATGCTTTCACAGTGAGAGCAGGAGACAACTTGGGCACACAACAGATGATGTTCATGCAACAAGCACATTTTTTTCATTGCATGTGCAGTTTAAATGTAGGAGCATCATCTAAACTCTAGACTGAATTTCTCTTGAATTTAGCACTCAAACTTTGGAATATTTGAAATTAGAACTGTTCAAAGTACAAGGTACCACTATATATAAATGCAACAAATTTATAATTTCAAAATTAAGAAATTTACTAAACTCTAACAAATTATATTTTACTATTTAGCAGCATACTTTCATATTCTCTACCAATTACTTATAAATTAGCCAAACAATACATTAACTAATTAAATTTTGCAATTAAAATGATTTGTAATTGGATAACTCACAAGTTGTCAATAATTATTTCTAATATTATCAATAATGATTAAAATTTGATCTTTACTGCAATATAAAATTTAAAAAAACATTCACTAAAAGAAAATAAACTTTTAAAAATATTATTACTACTTACATGATTTATATAAGTCAATAGCATCTGAATACTCTCTCTTTAAATCGGCTACTATTCCCAATGCCAAAAAAACAATGGGTGATGCAGTCTTCAAACGTAAAGAATTAGCAATTTCAAAAGTTTCTTCCATTATAATTTCTCTTTCTAAATTTAGTAAATAACAAGAACAAGAAAATACAACTCAATCAGACAATTTAAAGAACAAAAAGCAAATGATATAAACAGTAATTTTAAAATTCGATTATCTTAACATTTTATCTCTGATTTTTCATTTAGTCAGTAAGTGTTTCTATTTATTTATTTTGACTTTAACCATAGGAAGTTGCTAACTAGAACACTATCTTCAGAACAAACTAATTAATTAATAAACTAAAAAAATGGCTCAATTCTGAAAACAACTGATCATTTCTATTGATTTAGATCTTTTGAAAGGTTCAGCATCTTCAGAATTGACTACAAAAGCAAGAATAAATGAAAAAGAGACTAAATATAATGTATTTTTACCAGGGCCAGATTAACCCACTTTGGGGCCCTAGACATTTTCTTCTTACCGGGCCCCCTCCCACATAAGAACATAAAAACATATTTTCTTTAGATTTTAGAATTCACAATAACCATATAAAAAGCAATATATCTTTGTTTATTTGTTTATTATATACAGTTGTCCAACAGAAAAGTAAACTATCTTATTTACAAATCTTTTCAAAATAGACAGTTTGACCGGGCCCTTCTAAAATCCGGGCCCTAGACATTTGTCTCATTTGTCTATGCGATGATCCGGCCCTGATTTTTACAAATTATTAATAATAAAATAAACACATTACATAAATGATTTTAGTTCTTTGCAAACTAACCTAACCATTTAAACAAAGTTTTTATCAAAAAAATTCTCTCTCTAGATCTAATTCACCAATATGAATGTTTTAACATTCTAAATGATTTTCGAAATCTTTATCTACCCCATGATCATTTATCTAACAATTTTATTTTGGTTTATTTTATTTATAAACTGTAATGATTTCACCTCTGTATTTTAGACAATTACAATATCAATAAAGCTACATCAACTGCTGTATAATATTGGGCTATAAATTGACAATAATAATTATGAATTACTGATTAATTTGACCCTAGAGGGAGGCATTAAGCACCATCTCATATTAAATTTAATAATTATAATTTAAGTAAATAATTTTAGATTAAACTGGAAGAAAAGAATTGACCCAGAGCAGGACTCAAATCTGCAACTATTATCTGCCCCGTGGTTCCATTGCCAATTACATTACCCAGACCTCTAGTCCAATCTTCTCTTCCAGTATATTTAACTTTATGATATAATCATCGTCAATTATTACAGTGCCAACTGCTCCTCGTCCTGTAAATGCCCACACAAAGCACTCAGCCGGCTATCGCATACTGGCAAGGCATATATCTACAAATATAAACATCTTACAAAAACCTGATACATCACAATAAAGCTACATCAATAGCTGTATAATATCAAACTATAAATCGGCAATAATAATTATGTATTACTGATTAATTTTAAGTAAAGTTACTGTCTTCTATGTAAATACTGGAAAATAAAATCAAACCTGAGGTCCAGTAGTGTAATTGGCAATGCATCCTCATGGGAAGTGGGAGTTGTAGGTTTGAGTCCTGCTCCGAGCCAATTTTTTTCTTTAGGTTTATTCTAAAATTATTTAATTAAATTACAATTATTAACAAGACTATGTCTTGTTTATAAAATCACGGTGCAGTCACGCCTTACCAGCTTAGAGGTATGAAGAAGTACATGTCAGGAGTTGCAATTAGGTGCCCAAATCATGCATGCATAAAAAACCAGATCTGTAGTACTCAGGAGATTGAGAACTGAGTCAAAATAAGATATAAAATGGCAACACTCTTTCTATAAACAGGCACTAGTGAGAGATTTGCACACGCGTTGCTTGTTGGGAAGTCAGAAATGAGAACATTGAGCATTTTTGAAACTAGATGGCACTATTCATTATAATTTCATATTATTTTCATATTAAAACTAACTTCCTAAATATAATTTTTTTTGTTTTACATTTATTAATATACAGTCGACCCCCCTGTAATGCAGGTTCATATAATACAGATTCGTATATCGTGCCGAAAAAATTGTGACCGTATTCATATAAAGATGTTAAAAGAGACTCATAAAATGTGGTAAAATGTCATCGCCGACTTGTGTCGTGACAGGATTGGTCGAATCTGGACCAATAGTGGACGAGCATCTGAACTACTTACACGCTACAGAGAGTTTAGGCGGGTAAGTTGAATTTACCATCATCTGTACTGTATATAAATTAGGTACTGTAAGTCTAATACAGTACCGTAATTTTATACATTTCTTGTGAAAAAAACATTTCTTATTCAACAGCCATAAAAATTATTTCTATTAATGATGTCTCCAAAGTTCAACGAATTTTTCGCAGAAAAATAACTTATCAGAAAACTTGCCCGCTGTTTGGTGCGCCGCTCCGCAACGAAAACAAGCTTAAGCAATGGTGTCTTCGAACAGTGCACACTCGGTAAGTAATCCTACAATTCTTTGTTTATAGTATAGTTTATACGGATTATTCCCAAAAATTATACGTATTTTGGAAATGTTGAGTCAAATTAGTTTAGAATCGATTAATTTTATGGAAGAAAATCTTTCAAACAGCCGTAGTCCGTAAACTGCATACGTGACGGGCTGTGAATGGCTCATGTAATTAAGGATTCCTACAACGTGAAATTCTTATAAAGTGGAATGTATCTACTGCATTATAGGGGGATCAACTGTATTTATTTTGTTTGTGCAAAATAAAAAATTTTGGATGATACAATAGCCATGATTTTTTTTTTTCAAAAATGAGAAATTAGGCATTGACAAAAATTCATCCCGGAGTGACATACACTGGAGAGAAATTTCGACATTGGATAGGTTAATTTCACTAAAAATGCATTGTGGATGACCTTGTGGTTGTGGCCAGCAAATCACAATCAAAACCAGAGATACCAAAGAAGATTGGAGAATGAGAACAAGACCCGCTGTGAATGTTGAAGTGATCCCGCTTAGTAGTGAGTCTCCAAGACAAAGTCTTGTCCCAAATACAGCCTTGCCGTTTTACTTGTTAAATTTAATACAAGATGGCACCTAACGCCCCCTTCTCCCTCTAGGATCAAATTAATCAGTAATTCATAATTATTATTGCTGATATTATATGGCAGTTGATATAGCTTTATTGTAATGTATTGGGTTTCATAAGATGTTTCTAATTACAATATCATCCATATATCGTCAAATGCCTTTATGTATTTTTGAAATTCTTTGATTATAGGTTTTTTGGTAAATTTTGTTAAATCTCCCATTATAGATAAGCCTATTTTGATAAAAGCCTATTATAGATAAAATGGAACTCCTTTTTGTTTGAAATACTTTTCCAAAAAAAATCTATGATTTGTGAATTGTCAATCTCAAATATTCTGGTACTAGATTGTTCCATTCTCTATTTCTTTTTAGATTCTTAGCCAAGTATTGTACAATTATTGATATAAATCACTTCCTTGACATAATGAGAATATAAAGACTTTAATCTGCCATTATTTATTTTACATATAGAATAGGAAGTGCCACTGGACAGTTGATTTCCTCCCCAAATTAAAAAAATAATAATAAAAAAGTCCCTTAAAAGCAATAAAAGAAAAAATATACATATAACAAACAACTGTTTGGGGGAAAAAAAAATAATATAAAACAAAATTACATATAAATAAAAAATATGTTACAGATCATGAGAAGGTTGCATATTATAAGAATTTAAGTATTGTTGACAATTTAAAGAACAAACTCTTTTGTTCTTTGTACAAAACAAAACAAAGTATTTTATGGGTAATAAAGAATTGTAATAATTGAGAATTTCTTTCTATGAGCAGTAGGTTTATTTATTTATGTTATAACAAGTTATACCTCTATTGAATATAATTAATAGTGAGTGAAAAAATGTAATATTTTTTAAATAAATGAATTTGTTTTAAGTTATGTAAATGACTAATTGCATATAATTCTTTGAATACCTGCATTAAATAACCATACTATGATAGAAACCTTAAAATGTAGTAATATTTTTAATTTTTAAATGCTTTTGATCATTTTTTATCAGCCTTATCGCAACAAATATCCCATTAAATTGTGTTAGAAATTATTGTAGGATAATTTAAATTTTTTTTTTATTATAATTGCTTATTTTTAGGAAATGTAATTTATGCATGTATTGAAATGACTTCTGTGATTTTATATAATATACTTATTAAATAATAATAAATGTATGTATTTGATTAAATTTATTATTATTTATGTAAAATAAGTAATTCGCCTTTAGTTATAGTTAGAGATTTTTTATGGTGCTCAGTTATAAAGACTGTATACATCTAATGCAGTAATTATAAAATTTACATACAAAAATATGAGGGGTACTTGAGAAACAACTAATGGGCTAATGGGGTACATCAACAAAAAAGGTTGAGAACCACTGAACTAAAAGATAAGAACAAACATAAAATAAATACCTGCAATAATAAAAACAGAAATAAAATTCAAAATAGGTAAATGTATGCTTGGTAATTTCTCTGTATGCTTCCATACCTTTACCCAAGCATCATTTGGAGCCTAGATCTAGGAATGCTTTCCAAGCTTTATTTATTTGTCACTTTCCAAGCTGTCAATAATGTGTTATAGTCTTTGTAATTAATGGATTGTCCTATGGATATCAATTTATAAATGTGCAATGCCTTCATATATTCAATGTGTTGTGTACTCTGCATGTTTTGGATAATTCGGGCTTGGTCCAATTGATTGCAACGGAATTAAGATTGAACATTAAATACACTGCTAGGGCAGTGACTACATTACATTTAGTGGAGCACTCCCTCTGACCTGTAGCATTAAATGCTACTGGCTTGAGGTACTCCTCTTTTAATTAACCTGCTTCGCATATGCTTTGCAGGTAGTTAAGATTACATAGTCGCGGTCGTAGCCGCAATACATTAATACCCGACAATTCTATTTTTTACATTAATTATATTTTTGTTGAGTAGAGTATTTGATGTCATTAATTTAACAATGAACTATGACA